CGGGGCCGCCGTCGCGGGGCTGCGGGAGCGGAGCCTCCCCGTCCGCCATCTTGGCGTCGCAACCGCCGCCCCCTTCCCTCCCTCCCGCCCGGCGCGGCGCAGCGCAGCGGCGCCGCCGCCCCCTCCCCCACCCCCAGGGAGCGATTTAAACGCGGCACGTGACCGCGCCACCGCCCACGCGCCCCGCCCCGCCCGCCACAACAACAAACCGCGTCACGCGAGGGGCGGCGCCCGCGCGTCACGTGGCCGCGCCCGAGGGGGCGGGGGCTGCCGCTGCGGGGCGGTAACGGTCGCCGCGCGGGGCGGTAACGGTCGCCGCGCGGGGCGGTAACGGTCGCTCGGGCCAGGCGGCCCGGCTCGGGAGGGGCGCACCTCGTTTTGCGAGGAGCTGGCGCTTGTGCCGCGGCAGGGCCTGGCAAATGGCGGCCTCAGGCTTCCCTTGTTGCTCCAGCCGCTTCCCTCCTGTGGGGTTAAAAGGAGAGAACAGAGTGAGTAGGTTCGGTTTTGTTTGTACCGAGCTTATCAAGTACACACTACATCTTTCTGAAGAGAGGAAGTAGCACAGCTGTTGGTAGGGTTAGACCTGCCACCAAAGCTCCTAAGCATCTCCTTGTGGGTGCCTGTGCCTGGTAGGTGGCTTTGCTCAAAGGTTTGCAAGAGCGTTTTCTGCAAGCACAGAGCTGACCTGAGGGCAAGAGGGGAATTGGGGTTTCATCTCTCACCAGGGCAGGCAGCTCTCGGCAGGTTGCCTGTAAAAAGTTGCACCTACTGGCTGAGCTCCTGGTGGGCTTCCTGGAACCATGCCGCTGTACTTAACCTCTTGAGTGGGAGAGGGCTCTTGCAGGGAGTGTTAATGTGTCTTGAGAACAGAGTCTCTGCTGAGGTTTGTGGGAGAGCTGCTGGYGTGGGGCTGGCTCGAGGATGTGCGCAGCTTTGTCTGTCCCCACTCCCTGCCAGCACAAGTGCTCCTGGCCATGGGGACCTGACTCTGTAGTGACCTCTGCTATGCAAACGTTCCTTCTAGAGGTGCTCTGGCAATTGGTAGCCTTGATGCTGAARCGTAGGCCATCATAGTATAGCAAACAGTTGCCACATGTGGGTTTTGATTGATTATTTTGTGTCTTTATACCTGGAAGTTTTGTCTAGACAGGGTTTGGCAGTGTCCCCAGGCTTTCTGATGCCCCCGGGCCTAGAGAGCTCAGTTCAGCTTCCAGGTATCCGAGTGGCCCTGAACAGCCTCAGCACACACGGCTCAGGGAGCTGTCTTTAGGCCTTGGCTGCTGTGCAGCGCAAACAGAGTGTGAGCAGCAGTTTAAAGTAAATTACAAAAATAAAGGAAGATTTAGCCCCAGATAGCTATGTGAAGTGTTGGCTGAACTGGCTTTTTCAGCATTCCCTTGGCTTGCTTGTTCCTGAACTGAGTGGCTATTAGTCAGTTTGCTTTCAAAATACCAACTCTGAACTTTCAAAGGATAAATATTAGCTGTAGCTGCTTGCTTTTATTACCTAATGTTTTGATCTAAGCTTTATGAATATAAATGTAAATACTGATTTTGTTTAATGTGCTTAATATCATAAGCTATTTACAGAATAGTTCTAGTGAATTTATTACAATAAAATACCTAAGTTTAGTGGCAAAGCTAAGATTAGGCAGGCAGAATTGATTCTTTCAGGTCTTGATATTATCAGCTTAAAAAAAAAGCAGCACTTGTGGTTAAAATCATTGGTGCTTGCTTTGTGCTCCAAAAGGAGTTGTTGTATATAAAACTGCTTTTATAGGTAGTAATTGTGAGGCAAAAAATCCTCTGTATGTAATCTATATGAACAAGACCCCTGGATAAACATACCACTTTGGAAACATTATATTTCTTCTATTGAGGATTTATTTCTTCAAAACAAGCTGTGAAGTAACTGTATGTGAATCATAGCAGGATTGTGTTTTTTTCTAAGTATTCTCTACAAATGTGCATGTTTGTGTTCTTAGTCCTTATTGAGGCCAAGGTAAGAGTCAAGACTTTTATAACTGTACATGCATAATGGTTTTGTTAGCTATAAAGAAGAGGTATGTCTTTGTTTTGTAATTCTGGAGAGTATTTGTGTGAAGAGACTGTTTTAGCAGACAAAATGTCTCACCTGAGGAAGTRCCAAATCTAAAGCCTTCTGGAAAAGGCAGTAGGGAGGAAATGAATCCAGATTCCTATGGCTGGTGGAACRTTCCTCTGTTGCAAGCATTTATGCTTGTTAGTAGAGTTGTCCCTAGATTGGGAAGCCAACTTATGCTGGCAGCTCTGCTGTTTCTGCAGCTCTAAGCATTTGCTGGCCAGGGACAGAGCAGGAGATGCAAAGCTCAGATATATCATGCCTTGAACTTCATGAAAATGTTCTCTTTRTCCTCAAGAAGCAAAACAACTCAATGGTGAAGTGATACTCAAAAGAGTTTCAGGCATTTTATAGGAATAAAATCCTGCTTAATCAAATACAAATTCTGAGATTTTTCTGATTTCTTTAAAGGACTGTTTTGAACTTCTGGCAGTTGATATGTTCTGTCACACTGTTCTGTTCCCTGTTCTGTTACACCGAACCAAGGCTTCGTGTCACGTTTCAGTGGCTCAAAGCAAGCAAAACTGCAGATACTACATTGCGCGTGGACAGAAGCAGCCTGTTTGTTGTTGGGTGCAGAGAGCAAATACCAGATTTCCTCATGTTCTGCACAGTTTGTACGTCCTGGGCAACACCAGGCAGAACACGTGTGCCACCTCCCGCACCCTGCCGCTTTCGTATGCGGTCTGTTTGGAAGACATGGGCTCTGTTTGATGTATCATGTGCAGGTGCTCTTAGCCTCCTTCTCAGCGGAGCAAAGAAGTGGCGAGTCCCAGGGTCTGGCCTGYGGGGTCCTGCTTGAAGCTGCACTTCACCTTGCAGCACAGAACCTGCTGAAAACCAGGGAGAAGCAGGGTTAAAGATCCTTCCCTTTCACCTTGTGCAAATATGCAAGAAATACTTGGACAAAAATGGTATGTCAGAAGTGCTGTCAGGGAGCAGGGCCAGCTGTTTGTTTTGTGTCCTCCCACAAGGTACAATCTACTTAAATATTTACACAATCTCTTACTAAAAGACTTTTTCTTTTTTTTTTTTATTTATTATTAGGCTTTTGTGGTTTGCTATTAAGTTAGGAATGGGGGAGGGAGGGATTTGTAGTTGTAAATTCTTCTACCTGATTAAAAATTGCATCAGTTATTTTATCTCCTCTGAGAAATAGCGTAGTTAGTATTTCTAGCAGATTTAAGTTGTTCCACTGAGAATGGTGCTTTGTTGTATAATAAAGGAAATATTTAATTTTGGTGGATAATTATGTATGTAATAAAATTAAGTTATATTCATAAATTGAAAAATTAATCAAAGAATGGTAAAGCAGGTTTTTGGCTCTTTTATGTACTTTATATATTTTACCATCTTATTACAGTATCTGAAAGCAGAGTGAAATAGTAAACTTCAGGCAATACAGCCATGGTGTTAGAGAAACTAGTAGAAGGCTTATATATTGCAAGACCTTTTTAAAAGATTATTAATATCATAAACCAATAATAATAATCAAGCAGTCCAAAAATAGCCTTTAGAAAGGCGACTRTGTTCCTAAGTGATGAACACACAGCTCTTCTGGCCACAGTCACACCCTGGGCATCTGTTCCGTATAAACTATCACCTGCTAGGTCACTGCATCTAAAATTGAATAGATATTCAAGACAAAATTAATCTTGTTTTGAAGAATCAGCAGTACTTGATATTCAACATCTTACATTACAAAGCTYTTAGGAAGAGAGGAGAAATCAAGGGAAAAGACTGCTGTGGATGGCCAGTTTCACACCCAGGAAATTTGTGGGGTTTTGTGAATCACTGAGCAAATGGCTTCTAGGAGAGTAAAGCATATTTATGCTCTGTGAGACTGAGGCCTKGATCATCAATTGCCAATCATCAAAGCTTGAGGCCTTGCACTTCAGTGTTAGGTGAGTCGTACAAGGAATGGTTCCTACAAACACAACAAAGAGCTTCAAGAGACTTGCAAGCAATTGTGTGTGGGAAGTGTGTTTCTCTTGATAATGGACTGCAAGGATTTTGTTGTCTTTTCACAGTCTTAACTTTGTCAGACAAAAGGTGAGTACAGAAATAAAGAACTGCTTCTAAGACTGAAGATGCAGCCTCTTTGCTTACAGTGTGGGCGCAGAGAACACGTTTCGGTGCGTGCAGGACCCGGGGCAGGCACGCGTGCGAGCGCGTGCCTGACTTGGCGTGGATACGTGCAGGTGGCAGGACCAAAGTCTCACACAGCTCAGTTTTGCTGAGCATCCCCACTCTTGCAAGCCTGGGCGGTTGCTTTGACAACTACAAGTCCCAGGGAGCTTTGCCACCAGCAGGTTTGTGCAACCGGATCGGCATCCTGCCGGGGCCAATGGAAAGCGGAGATTCCCGAGAATTCATGTGTCAGCTCCTGCTATTAAAAAGCACTGGGGAGAGCCGCGGAGCTGCGTGGCAGTAGCTAACTCCCCTCAGCTACTTGTGGAGCTGCCTGGGAGCTGCCATCGCTACTCGTGCTTTACTCCTCGGCTTGAGGAAAGCCACCGGACTCATCCCCATGGACACCGTGTTGAACTGCAGCCCCGGGGACTTGGAAGATTATTACAACTTGCTGGGGTGTGATGAGCTGTCCACGGTAAGAGCCTCCTTGTGCTTGGAGCACAAGTTGGTACCTCCACAGGCAGGACTAGCTGAAAGGCATCCTTAATGCACATCCTTTCGTGCTGCTTTTAGTATAGCCTTAATGCCAAGCTCAATTTGCAGATCACGTTAAGATCCTGGAATAAGGCTTGTGTGAGAAGTGTTTTATAAAACGGACTTTTATTATAGGTRCAATGAAAATGATGGTTTATGCATTAGTTTTGTTCAACATGTGATATGGTTGTGTATTATGAGCCAACTGCATAAATTTGAAAGCATAAAAAACATTGTGGAATATATTTTTGATTTTAAAAGATGATAAAATCTTTGTATGTGCAACTAGTGCGGTGAATGTAGAAAAATGGTAATGCTACAAGATAACTCTTTTTTAAATAGATATGCATATTTTCTAAGTACTCATTGGTTGTAAGGAAAAATATAAAAATAAGAATCTCCTACTTATTCATCCTACTAATGATTTTAAATTTTCTAACACTAGCTTTATAGATTTGTTTGGGAGCAGATACATGCTATTTCATATTTTATGATGAGATCTATCTAAGCAACTGTTGAATGCTCTGTAGCTAAAATACAGGCATTTTCCTCCCAAAGATGTCTCTATAACATTTTTTTGGGTGGTATGGTTGATATTTCTATTTAGTGGTATGGCTGATATTTCTAACCCAGCTGCTCTGTTAAGTGGGACTGGGTTTGGATTACACTGCTGTAATGAATGAGGTATTAAGTGTGGAGCAGTCTCTCGCTTATGAAGTCAAGCGAGGTGCTCTCCTGTGAGCTATCGGTTAAATGTGGGGAAGGAACCTCCGTGTTTTCCAGCGGAGCGTCGCGGAGCAGCGTGGAGCTTTTGCTGAGGTCCGTGCCGGTGCGAGATCCCGGCAGAGGGCAGCGCTAAAACTGTGCCTGGCACCTCTGGGGTAGCGTGGTGCTGGTAATAAAGCTTGTAAAATGAACAAGCAAAAGTCTTCTTGTGCTTGCCATTGTGCCTCCAAACTCTTTTTCAAAAAGCAAATTGAAAGATCATTTCTGTGTCTATGTATTTCCTCACTTTAAACCTTGATACTGTTTAGGTTGAACAAATTCTTGCCGAGTTTAAGATTAAAGCCCTTGAATGTCATCCTGACAAACATCCTGGCGACCCCAAAGCAGGTACGTGTTCTTCACTGTTTAATTTCCGCCCCAGAATTAATGTGACTAAGATATTAAATTCAGTTATTAAAGATTAAATGCAATATTTTTTCCCCATATATTCTTTCTGTTGTCATGTGTACCGAGTGTATTGCCTTATAATAGCAAGCTTTAATATTCTGTTCTAGCACACACTGCTAGGTGATAGAGCAGGAAGGAACATGCTTCTTTTATTTATTTATTTTCCTAGGAATTTTCTTTTTTCTATCTGCAGCAGAACATTTAATTCAGAAACACGGAGTATCTCCCTTTCTAGACAAATGAGGTTGACCTGCTTCTGCACTCGGCGACACTCAAATGCCATAATTGCGTCAGCTAGATAATTTACTTTGTGAACAAGCACATCAGGAACAGATTAAATGTACTTCAGTTTCTTTTAATGTAATTAAATAACTGCAAATAAGGAGAAGCCAGCACCAAAGGAGCAGCCATCTGCTTGCAGAGCAGCAGCCAACATCTGAGGTCATGAAAGAGGGTTCATCAGACCCAAACCAGGCCCATGACTGCAACTCCAACTCAGTTATTTGAAGACAGTCTTACACATTGTAGCTTATCTGGACATCTGATTACAAATTGCCAAAATAAGGGCTCTTCTGATCTATTTATCAAAGTTTGCAGAAATAGCTATTCAATATTTGATTTCTATTTGGAATTCTAGTAATTACAGCAGGGAAATAGAGACTAGAATTGATCCCATTGCATGTGCCCCCGTTTACCGAAGCCAAGTAACCCAAAAAGAGAAGCCAAGTGCCAAATACTGGAGCAGCTTTGTTGATACGTACTTCAAATGTCATTTCACAGCACTAGGGAAAATTGCCCTTTTTGATGACTTCATCAGCCTGATGAAGAGCAATTAAAAAGAAGACTGTTTTTATTTGTTCAAAAGGAGTCACACTAGAAAAAGGAAGCCTAATAGAAGCCTCCCTGTAACCTGTTGCCTGGTGTTTGATTTATGGTTGTTGGTTTGGATTGGTATTTGGGCTCAGTATATTTCAAAAGAAATCTAGTTTGTAAACTGCAATAAATGAATAATAATAATATATCACTGTAACACAGGTGATTCACAGATAAAATGTAGATCCTTATAGCCCTTCTTCAAATAGTAACCTGCAACTGTGTCCTTAGTAACCAGTTAATGAAAAAATCTTGTAGAGAGACCAAGTGTTCACATGCAACCTGGTGTRCAAGATAATATTTTAGAATATGTTTGAAAAAGATGCCAAATTAGGTGCACTAATTAGTTATTTTACACCTCATTTAGATTCCTGTGCTTGCTTATGAATCTTTCCTCTCATTTTCTCCCCCCTCATACTTCCGTGGTGTTTTGTGCTGCCCTGACTTCCTTGCTGTTGCATATATAAGGGTGTACCCTTTAAACTGGATTATTCCAGTTTAATTTCCATTTTAAAATGCTATTTGTAGGGGCTGGCTYGTGCCTTTTGCCTGCTTTCTCTATATGTTTCCACGAGCTTAAAATTTGGAATTTTTCAAGCCAGTCAACAAAACGAGCATCTTGGCACTCATTTGAGCCAGACATCAACTGTCCACAGAAGGTGCTCTTGCTCTAAAGCCTCGCGCGGCTGCAAGCAGATCAGCCACAGAGCTGTCACTCTGCTCTCTTGCTCTCTGCTCCCAGCTGCTGGCAGCTCCCCTTTTGCATGCAAGCTACTTCCATCCAAACAAGTGTTGGCTTTAGCATTTTTTTGATTTGCCTTCCAGTGGAGAGTTTTCAGAAGCTGCAGCAAGCCAAGGAGATTCTCGCTAACGAGGAGAGCCGAGCTCACTACGATTACTGGCGGCGGAGCAAAATTGCCATTCCCTTCCAGCAGTGGGAGGCCCTCAGCAATTCAGTGAAGACGGTGGGTGGTTTTTAAACTTGGATGTTCCTTGGTTCTTGTAGGAACTTCTTATTTGTTTTAAAATTGGATTAAATCTAGCACCTTTATAGAGTATTTTCTCCTCTTGAGATCGGTTACATTTATGCTAACTGATTAAATAAACTATTTGACAAATCTAGAAGCTGCTGTGTTGCAACCTGGGGCTTCACACAGACGCTTGGAAGGGCCCTGCGAGGTTGGTGGGGTGATTTGTGACAGGATTTTTTTGAGGACAGTTAGTGCCAAATGAAGTCAGGCTTCAGTTCCTAAAAACTGTTAAGTTCTTGAGGTGCCACATTCAAATATCATCATCTTCTGTACTGTAATCTTTTAAGTCACATAAGCTCTTAAAAAGCTTTGGAAGTCACACTTGAAAAAATTGTGGACAAAAGACTCTGATTATTTGGTGCACTTGTGCATTTTGTTCTTCATCCTCTCTGACATAAGCTATAGCTGCGTGTCCCTACTCACATCCTATATGTAATGTATGTGTTCCTTATCCTACTGGCTCATAACTTTCTCTCTAGGCCATGCTTCTTTTTAACCCTGTATTAAACTAAGAAAGAAAGAAAAAAAAAAAACTTGTAAAACACAGGAAATAGTTAATTTGTTATTTTTGCATTTCCTTAGATGATGCATTGGGCTGTCCAAAGAAAGAAGGACCAGATGCTGGAAGCTCCTGTGAATAATAGTGTCAACGTAACCAGTGAGATTTGTACCCCACAGATTGAAAACAGTGAAGACGGATTGTCGGATGGGATCAGGGAGCAAGGAGATGTTGAAATTCCTGATGTGAAACCGCTGTCCTCAAAGAATCCGGACTCCCCCCCAAGTTAGTGAAACCAGCAGTTACAAAAGATTGCAGAATGCAAAAACAGCCTGAAAATGAGACTTCTAGTCATGAGAAATTCTTCTCCAGAATAATGCATTTAATTAGTAGCTTTTTTTTTTTTTTTAAATGTGGCTTTGGGTTGTTCTTTTTCCATGTCATTTTTAATATAATTTTGACTCTTTTAGGYCTTTTCTCTCTCGCTTCATGTTTTTTGTTTTACTAGCAAACAAACAAACCTAAAATAAGACAGTTTATCCTAAACAAAAAAGGAGTTTAGTGTTCTTGCTTAATCAAAAATAAATATGTTACTCAAATATTACCAGCAGTAGTTTGAATATAACTGCTTGCAACTACTAAATAACGCAGTTAGATGTTATATACRTTTTTGTTTAATCCAGCAGTCAGAACTCATGCACAGTTTATAACTGTTAAGATGAAAAGGAGACTGAAAAAGAAGACTTGAATTCCTTTGTACTTGATCACAAGTTCTGAACATACATATATGTAAATATATGTACACCACAGTAAGTATCTATTTCAGAAGCAGTCTGCTRGAGAGGCAGTATTTTCTGTCTGTTTAGATTAATCTAGATTTGAATCACAGCTTAGTTCCAAAAGGCCCATCTTCTGTATTGTATTTGATGCCTCAGTGGTATCATAATCTTGGGTTTATGTTATCAAACTATTATTAAACAAAGTTTTGTAATTTCTTGTTTGATCAATCAAACAGGAAATTAAACTGAGAGGGAACAAAAACCTCACCCTGTTCCTCTTGCAACCAAGAAGTTTTGTCTTAGTATTTTCTAATCTGACTATTCCTGACTATAGTTAAGTGCCTGACTTCTTTACTCATCCGTATGTTATCCCTTCCCTTTACGCTTCTGCCTTTCACACACTTGGAGATTTATCATGTCACCTTCTTCAGATTAAGAAATGCAATTCATTCGTTCTTCTTTTTAAATCATATTTTCTAGACTGCTCATCATTTTTGCTCTTTCCAGGTGATAGGTATCTTGCAGTTTGGTGCTTGCTTGGTGGTGAAGGGTTTTGTACAAATGGTGCTCGGCCAGTCAAGAGCACTGGAAGGGTCCGATTTTTAAAATTACTTTTGGGAAGATATGTTTGTTTTTGCTATGTAACTAACAATTCACTTGGTCTCCTCTTCTTTCCCCAGGATTTTCAGAGGGAAATTACTGGCACTTGCGTTTCCGCTGGTCGGGAGAGGCTCCCTCAGAGCTGCTGAGGAAATTCAGAAACTACGAAATCTAAAATGCAAAATTCCTAGGAGTGCACGATCCTGTTTAGCAGCTCAGTATGTTATGTTATTTGTATCTTAACTCCTTCATTGCTATGTGAATGTTACTCAGTTCAGTGGTGTCTTATACCAATCGATCTGTTAACCCACATCTCTGAGCTTTGCAGATGGGGATCTCTGTTTGATCAGCAAGTAGTCCTCTTTTCAGTATTCACATGGTGTTGTGCATAGCTGTCTAACACCTCGTGTACTGTTTCTTCTATTATAAGGTAGTGTAGCAAGTAATGTTTTTGTCAGTACAATGATACTATAAAAATCTCTCAAAATCAGAAGTCACYGTTAGACTTCAGGAACTCCTAACGTTAACCCAAAAGCTACATGACGATGAACCTGAAGCAAAACTAGGTTTATTTCTGTTGCATAGTACTTACAGTAGTGATTTATATTGCRCATTAATATTATTAATACACTATTATAAGCTTAACTTGTCAGATAATTGTGATCTTACGGTGGAAATAAGAACCTGCTTATTATCCCAGAAGACAGCTGTGATAGATTAAGCTCTCCTGACAACTCAGTTGCTTTCTACCTTAAAAAGTAAGCTTTTTGCAACACCTGTTTATCTTGGCAGGCGATTCCAGACCCTCACTTCTTGGGTTAGCAGCTTTCTTCCCACCCATCTGGATGCCTCTTGTATGTGTGCCAACATGGGCCTGGCGCTTAAGAGCAGCAGCCTACTGCTGTGGCTCCAYAGCTTGTCTCATCAGCTTGTGTGTGGTGGGGAATGAAGAAGTGGGTCTGGTCAGTGTTAATGTGTACGAGTCTAACATGAAACACTTATATTTTGTACAACTCACATTCATGTTGTATTTATTTATTTTGTATTTCCTTTGTAAGCTGTGTCAGTTATACTTTTTTGAGTAGCAGGTCTTTGTCAAAACAAATAAAACAGCATATGTGCAGAAATGAGCTCTTCTCACTTATTGGAAATGGAAACCTTTACCCACCACAGACCCTGCCAAGTCCTCCTTACTTGTCYCCTCGGTAGGGAAACAAAATGGAGGGATCAGATTCAGTGCTATTAGTTGGTTCTCTAGTACACTAATGTAGATATTTCTTCTATTTAATACTTCTGTTTATTTTTCTTCTATTATGTGCATATATCCACCCATATGCATAGTTACATACATAGATACCTACATATGTATTCAGCTTGAAAAGGTCTACTTTTCAGTGTTTCTCAGATGGGGATAAATATGAGCCCTAAGCAGCCCTATGCGTTACAGAATAGCTCTAGAGCATTTAGAATAGCWTGAAGGACTTAGTTTGTCATGAAAATAAGCAGCTCTGAGAAGTGAGCCAGTGGCCCCTCCCGGGTGTGGTTAAAGGTGCAGATTAAACCTGATCCTTGGGGGCTTGTGAGGGCTAATGAGATTTCATCTGAAAGGCATGAGATAGCAGATGTGGGGAGCAAGAAAGGTGGTGATGAGGGTGATAAAATACAGAGATCAGGACACAATGGCTGAGACTTYATTCTAGGCCTTTGAAACTGTATTGGCTGGTTTTGTGATATCTGGAAATTAGGTACCCGCTTTGCCAGCAGCACACAGTGAAACCAAACAGTTGTGGSTGTTCTTGCATTCCATAAAGTTTAACAGTGCTCTAATATTAATTATTGCACTCATTCTTTATCTTAGGTAAAAGCTAAAAATTTAAGTTTCAGAATATTCTAGGTCTTCCCAAACTTTTAGGTCCCCACAGTTAAAATGTCAATGATGAATACAAATAATTATTAAAGTCCTAGTCTGAGTAATGCTGAATGACAGACAAGATTGTATCCTGGCTGCTTGCTTTGTTTTTAAGGGAAAAAAAAAGGCATCTCTTATCTGTTCTAGGATAGAAGCAAGTGTCCTGATGACTGGAATAGATACTGAGCAGCTTTAATTTCCGGAGCACAAACACTGCTACCTTCTGCTTTGCTATCTTGAAATGAGAGATGACTGCTGGGAAGGCAAGGAGCGAAGCTGTTATGAAGCTGGTGAAATTACACAGCAAAAGCTAAAGCAGCTCYGTGGGCAGCAGCCTGCGCCGCTGCCGTGCAGAGCGATGCTTTCCAGCTCCCCTAGGCTGCGTTTCACTGCCTTGGCTCTACGTACGTGCCTGTCCTGCTGTTATCAGTGCCTGCGCATGATGCAGCCCTGTGCACGTGGGCCTGTTTTGCCTTTGCTCTCATGTCTCTCCCACTTCAATGAAGCTCAGCTTCCTCATCTGATTTTCTCCCCTCATCTCTGAAAGGCTGCTGCCCGAGTCACTGCTGTGGCGCACAATGGAGGGGCTGGGCAGTGACACGCCTCAGCTTTGCCCGTACATCACACCGTACATCCCGTACCTGGGAGGCACGCGGCACCCTGGGCACCCAAGGCAGGCAGCTCAGTGCAGCGGCAGGCTTGCTCTTGCCCATGTGTCCTTACAGAGCCATGTTTCCTGCTCCCGACCGCCTTGCTCCTGCTTTCCACAGGAAAGGCGATGGGCAGCGCGTTACCCTTTGCTGCAAAAGGCGGGGGAGAGGGGTGAGCCCAGGCAGAGCTGCAGTGCTGGTACCGCATGGACAGCTTGGTTGGGCCACGGGGCAGGCCACGCTTGCTTTGATAATTAAAAAAGCCACCAAAAAACCCAACTGAAGTTAAAACCGTATGGGTCTTCTTGTGCAGTGCCGCCATGGGAACATTTTCATAAATCTTGTCCAAGTGGGAGGGTGGGAAGTAACTTGGGTGTTCACTGCTGCTCTTTTGCTTCAGCTGCAAGTTTAAAGGAAAATCAGTTTCAAGGCAAAAARAAAGTTTTATGAAATGCATATATTTTTGCAGCCGTTCTGAAAGTCTATTTTTTTTTTCTTTTGTTATGTGAAATTTAAAACAAGTATGTGTTTTGCTGTTGGTGGTTTGAAGTTTCCATCCCCAGCAAATTCTCAGTGGAAAGGATGTTTTGAAGAGGAGAACTTCGTAATAAATATTTATCATTTTGGTGCTTTGTCTTCTGATTTATCAAAGCAATGACACATGTATATGGAAATAAGACACTTAAAGTAGTCAGCTCTTAAAAAAAAAAAAGGTGACCTTTTTCAGTGATGTGGTGGAGAAGGGCTGAGCACAAAGCTTGTCCATGGTGTTTTGTATTCTTGCTCTTTCAAAATTTYTTTTTAATTTGGAGTGGTATCAAAAGCACTGTATTATGCAAAATGTTCTCATCTGTTCCAGATTACAGTGCAGGAATTTTAAAGTTATATAACAACAACAACAAMAGTTTATATTCCTAAGTGGCTAAACAAAGGCAACTCTTACGTGTGAAAAATAAGTTTATATGTGTGTATATATACATATACAYATAAATTGTTACTGGAAATGTGCACAGTCGCTGAAGAGCCTGGCGTCTTGGAGAGTTACTGCTGTGTCTGYCTGCTCTAACCACACCATTTGCACTGTGCTGCACGGGGGAGGTGCAGCATGATTAAGGGATATAAGGGTGCTGAAATTAAAAAGCAGAGTTTCTAAWGCAAAGCTGATTTCTGTTAGTCATGAAGTCTATTCCAACCTCAATTCTAAGTGAAACTGAGTTGAGATACAACCTTCAATATTTTCGCAGGAGGCCTGGCAAAAACGCAAGCTGCCAAACCTGAACTGTTTGGGATTGGGAGCAGGTCAAAACGTTTGACCTGCTGCCAGCTTAAACTTTGGTTTGTTTGTCTATTTATGTATTTTCATGCATTCTGAGAAAGGATCTCGCACTTGCAACGTGCCATGAGCGGAAGGCATTTTTCTGGCTGGGAAAGGGCCCCATTGCGCCAGTCGCCGGCTCCCCGTCTGAGGCCTCCTCCTGGGACAGGCCACGGGGAGCCTGGCTGTGCAGAAACGCTTCCAGCCCCTGCAGAGGGGCCGTGCTACATTACTATTGCACCTGCTTTATAAGCTAACGATCGGTCTGCATGTGTACTTGTCCTTTTTAGAGAAATAAAAGTCAAAAGTAGCTATTTCTACACTGGCCTCTGTATTTTGGCTTCTGTGGAAGTTCTTATTTTTGGCCTCTTCATATCAGGGTTTGCAAGCTTGTGGGAGAGTCCTGTGCCCGTGTCTTTTCTGGTTACTAGTTGCATAGAGCTTTCTGTGGCTTTAGTCCTCATTGCCAGACTGTGCCTGCGTGTGCACAATGCACCAACCAGACTCCATATCTGTGCAAAGAGCCCTAAGTGTCAGGAGAAGTTGATCAGGGACCTCGCAGCTTTCTTCACACAAGGCAAGGTTCAATGCAGTAAGTACATTGGATGTAGAGAAGGGTGCTGCAGGCAAGAGTTTGCTTATTTTGCACCTGCTATGAGCTACGGCTGAGGGCAGGACATGAGCCCTTTGGACAGAGCTGCATGCCGCTGCATGGGTGCCGTGAGCTTTGTGTTGGGATGGTGATTTCAGCAACCAAGGCGTTGGTTGCTGAATAATAAGCTGTGGTGAGACCAAGGAATGTTTTTCATGGGCRTTCAAAATGTAAAGCTGAAAATTGATCCTGGGGACCTGTTTTTACTCCAGTAGTACTTTACACTTTAAAAATTAGTAGTACTAACACAACAAAAGTAGGGAAGTAGTGTATAACATGCAGTGACTGAGCTGCAATAGGATAAATGCTAGGGAATTCACCTTCTGCAAAGTAACATCCAGCAGTGTGAGAAGAAAGGAAGATGAAAATTTGTATCTCAGATGGCAGGAAAAACGACACCCCCGGTGGGCCGCAGCGAGCAGGGTTCGAACCTGCGCGGGGAGACCCCATTGGATTTCAAGTCCAACGCCTTAACCACTCGGCCATCGCTGCTGCTGTGAGCAAGCACTCGCGCCGCGCTCCTTATTGGGCGCCGCTGACGCTCCGGAGCCCGCCTCCGCCGCGCCGCTGCCCAATGGGAGGCGCCGCTCCCCCGCCGTTCCCGCGCGCGCGGCGGGTGTTCGCGCCGTCGCCGGCGGTAGCGGTGGCTGCTGCCCGGGCCGCCCCGCGGGGCCGGTTCTGGGGCCGCCCCGCGCGCCCGGGAGACGCCCGCAGCCCGAGCCTGCCCGTAAGTGAAGCGTGCCCCGCACCTTTACCGCCCTTTACCGGGCTCGGTGCGACCCCTGGCGCTGAGAGTCTGTGGGGGCACTGTGCTCGTTTTTGCAGTGGTGTGACACCCTTTGCTGATTTTTGTTAATTTTGTTCTTCAAATTCTTGCGTGCACCACGTGGCTACTAGATGTCAATTACTATTTTTGAATCAGGTGCAATTAACTAATTTGACTCTATGTGCATCTTGATTCTTTTCACTTTTTTTTYCCCCTGATCTGTTTAAGCTAGGAATTTTACCCTAATTTCTTCCCTTTTGTCATAGCTTTTACAGCTTTTTCTAAGTACTCCTTTTCTTGACTGAAATATTAAATATGCTCTTCAGTTTAAAATTTTGGTTATCCAATGTGTATAGATATAAATACATTTTAGAATTATGCTTTTGGAAGCTGAGAAAACATGGAAATTATTAGTCATGTACAGAGAGATTTCGAGCTGTGTAAATAAAATATTCAAGAGATCAGAAATGGATATATTACTATTTTTACATGGTCTCAATAGCAAGCAAAA